GGCATAAATTCTGCAATTTTCTCGCAAAATTTGCAATGATTTGCAAAAATAGTCGAATTTAGTTCTAAAAATGAAAAGGATTATTTTGGATTATTTTGGATTACGTGTCATTACGTGGTCTAAATTTGCCACAATAATGGATTATAATGGATTATATTGACAACATTTTAGACAACATTTTTCCATTATAATCGATTATTATCCATGGAACTCCGGTTCGGGTTCGTAACAGTAGCAATTTATAAACTGGAAGGAGGCATAGAATAAAATATATTGAGCATATTGAACGGAATGGAAAAAAGATCAATTTTGCTAAATTGACCCATCAGGCTTGATTGTTTATACAGAAAGCACAGTGCCCAATTGCCAATTCAAAATCAAATTTTCAATTGCCTTTCCCACACTTGAACCTAAATTTCTACCCTTTAAGTGGATCGTTTTGGCTCTTTTCAGTCAATTGAGAGTTACACTAAAATTAATTGGTCAATTGTTGGACAAACGATATCATAGGAGCCTAAATATATCATAATAGCCACTACAGTAGTCTACCACAATTCTTGATGGTTATATTTCCCCAAAGTTTGCAAAAACATATATAAAAACTTTGAAATAATAAAATGGTGTTTTACAATTTAAAAAAAATCATTTTCAGCTATCAGTTAAAATTTTTTTTCTTGAAATAATTTTAAGAGATAATGACCGCCTCTGTTGAGCTACATAAGAGGCTGTTGTATGTGATTCACTCAGCCATCGATCTTGAATTTTTAGCGTTTTTCGAAATTGACAGAGTAGAGCCCAAAATTACACATTTTGAGATAAAAATTCCGGTCCGAATTTTGCAAAATGACGCCATTTTACTTGAAAAATTTTGTTTTAGTTCCGACTTTCGATACGAAAGTAACGGAATATTTGTGCTCGGGGTGGGTTTTTTTTCTTCAGACAAATTTCGACTTTTTAACTAGCCATTTTTGACCGAATTTTTTTAATATCATTCAGAAGGTATTGTTGCCCTGAGCTTAAATTTGAAAAGATATTTCACCTGTGATCATTTTTCGTAAAGTTATTAGATTTTTATATATAAAATTATATAAAGTTATTATACATAAAAAGTTGGTATTTATATATAGTAAAAACGACCTTTTTTGTCTATCAAATTTAATTGACTTATACAATGTTTTGGAGAAAATACCCTTCTTAAAGTTTATTAAGGTACGTAAGGGGCTCAATCTGATATAATAATGTCTGTGATCGACTGGGTATTTTTGGCGTAATTTTTGATTAACTAAGAAAAGCCAAAATGACCCATTTTTGGGATAAAATATTCGGCCCGAAATTCGCAAAACAAATTACACCATATTAATTCTGCTAAAATTGTCAGCAAGCTTTGTCTTCATAAGTTTTCACCTAAACTCAACCCAATTTGAGAAAAAAGCGTTTTAATTTTCAAGTTTAGCTCGTTTTGTCCGGTTAATTTAAATCAGCACTGTAAAAACCGAAAAGAATAAAACATTGAGTTTCGCTTGATCAGCTCATTTAATGTGCGTGGCAGTCATGTAAAAAATTTCACATCGAGTGACACGATTTTTTACCGTTGTAAGGCCTCAGCGAATAAAGGATTTTATATGTAGGCATGACATTGCGAACTTTCGAAAATTATACTATAAAAATGGCCAATCACATCCAAAAAAATTGGTAAATTCTTAAGAGATTGATTGAAGCAGAACAAACATCGCATGAAATCCACCCTTTTTTACATTTCGCTGTTTTAGATAGCTTCTTCCATTGCAAACTGAAACTTTTTGGGGCTAAGCTGATTTTATCCCCTATTTGAAAAGAATTGTCTTGTAAATTCTGATCCATTTTTAAACAGAAAATTTTGTACTATGATCGGTTTAACTGACCATTTTAGACCGATTGAAGTAAAATTGATCTCAACCTAAGCGCAATTTTACCAGAACTTCACCAGGTTTTTGAGACTACGGAAAGTTTGAGACTTATGGTTGAACTGAAGATTTGCACGAAATTAGATAGCGTGACGAATATATGGGAGTAAGAATGGAGTTCTCAGACGGCCCTCTGTACTGCAAAAATGAACAATGAGTAAATCAGAAGATAATAATAACCGACACACACTGGTAATAACCGACGCGCAACTAAAAAACAAGAGCAACTTCTCTAAAACAAAGGAATTTCACAGCTGCAAAGTCTCAAAGACTCAATTTGTCTTCACAAATTGGAACCTGTAGCAACAACAAGTTGACCAAGGATCTTCTTACCACAGCTATATCAAAAGTGTTACATCTAGACTCTAAAGATTGTAAAAATGAACTAAGATGTTTAAATCTTTAAACCAAAGTTTTGTTCTAGCAATGATTCGGTTTTAGGAAGTTTCAGATAAAAGAAGTCAAATGAAACTATACTACTATCAAATTCACAGAAAACTAGACAAAAACCCTTATAAAGGAGTCGAATAAAAGTTTGTTTTATCGAAATGTAAAGCCTCAACAAAAACCGGAAATACATCAAAAAAAAGTTTTGTCGATTGGAAACCTGATCTCAAACAAATTTCCTCTACAAAGTTTTTAAGAAGAAAAGACTATTCAAAGTCAGACAGAGTAAATAATTTATCCTATTAAGATGAACAAAGACACTATGAACCAAGAGATTCCCAGATCACATTTCAAGAAGCAAAATTTTTTGCATAAAAGATAAAATTTGACAACAAGCAAAGCACTACATAAAATCAATTTCACTCTGAGAAAGGATCGTAAATTTCATTTGATTATCTTGAATAAAGCATGAAAAGAACGAAGCAAAAACAAACCTAACTAAAAATCTTTCATAATTTCATTTTCTGAATAAATGCTCAAAACTATTTTTTTTAATCAACCAGTCCGGAGGCCTAACCCGGAGATTAAATATTTAGGTTGACATGAGCGCATATATTCAGCGCTCTTTAAGCTATGACTTACTTGCAAGAGCTCACCTTACAAATTGCAGCGCACGGGGGATTTGAACCAGCAATCACATGATGCTGGGCAGCATCATTGCCGGAGAGCCACAATGCCACTAATATTAACCACCAGAAGTTAATTTTTGATCAATATCTAAAGAGAGTTTGAATTCCAGGTAGGAAACGCAATGAACCAGCATATCTAAAACTAGGCCAAGAGTTTGAAGAATTTTCTGATCAACCGTACAATCTCAAAAGCTCAAAAGCAAACCCCCTCCCCTTTAAATGACCAACCGTAGAATCTTCTCTCCAAGCATGTAAAAATTTTGAAAATTAAATCCTGATAAAGTATTCACTTCAAACAAGCGCGATGGATGAACTGCTGGAGAATTGTCTTAGGATCTCTGTAACTTTATCCTCCTTTTGCAAAAGAGGGAGATTCACTACTATGTATAAAATTTTCATAAGCTTAACCGTCATTATAGGGGGATATTTGTTACTAGGTACCCGAGGCAGAATAGAGTTATAGACATCCTTTTTTATACCGAATAGCTATTTTATCCTGTTTATAGCGTGGTGTATTAGTTATAATTTGTTATCAATTGATTTTTTGACTAATCAGATCAATGTATTTTACCTTGCTCTCGAAGTCAATTTCTGAAAAATTGGTGTTTTATCACCCCTAAATCGATTGGGGGAATTGTACGGTTGATCCGAATGTTCAAACATTGCTACTTTTATTCAACAAAACCGACTAAACCAAAAAAAATACGACTGCACAAAATAGAAATGAGAAATATCTTAAAATTTGGAATCATACATAACAGCAACTAGTTAGAAGCTGAGTGGGTTTCAGCATAAGTCTAATTTTTCACAAAAAGTTATTATCAACGCTAGAAAAACTACGCAGTTGTCAAAGTTAAAAAAAACTACAAACAGCAGAAAAAAATCAAGTTACTAAAACGTAAATTGCGTACAGAAAAAAAATTTCTACGATAAAACAACTAAACGGACAAGAGAAACGCAGACAAATAAAACACCGACACAATATTTTGAAACGGAATATTTCCCGTTTGAAAAAAAAAAACAGGTCCTGTCAGTTTTGAACCCTGGACCTTTGCCGTCCCAGGCGTATTTTTTACTTCATAACAGAGTGCCGGAGACGCAAAAAAATTGAATCCAATATGAGCTGAATCTATATTTACTATTTCTATTTTTGATCCTTTCTGTGAGCAAATTTATCTACTGGGAAAAAGTCGGATCTTGTTAACTATTCCCCCCTTACCTTATTGCAGGGAAATAGTTAACAGGGTACAAAATTCATATATGCATAACTGTTCGATTCTTTCTTTTAAGGAGGGTGGGGGAGAGAGAGAGAGAGAGAGAGAGATTCGTTACAAGGTACCATAGGGGAAGGAATAGTTAACAAGATCCAAAAAGTCTTACAATACCCTTGATTATCGTAGGTGTAATAAAAATTCATGCTTTCAATTATTCGTGTTTTTAAATAGATTTTCTGCAGATTCAATGGACAAAAAAATAGTTTTCTTGAATTTATGTGGCAAAAAAAACGATTGATGTGAGATTTGATGGCAAAACGATTATCTTGAGATTTTTTGGCAAGAAAATAGATTATTTTGATATTTTTATGGCATAAAAAATTTTCTTTAGTTTTTATGGAGATAAAAAAACTGAGTGGAATTACAATAAATGAAATAATAATAGAAACTAATGCCTGAATTGGTGATGTATTATCGATTATAATGGCAACAGTTTGGACAAAATTTTCTCAATATTTTCTACTTTTATCATAGTAACTTCGGTGTGATCAATACGTTTTCTGTTTCGTAACTTTTATCTCTCAATCATTAACCTGGTTTTTTATCAGGCCAAACTTCTTTCTAGGGGGATTTAACGTTTTCATTCTGCCACCTGAAACTATTTAATATGTTCTAATTAAACTTATTGCCATCTGAAAAATTTAATTACTCTATTCACTACAGTTACCAGGTGACATTTATAGCACAAGAAGTGTTCTTTTTTGCAGCATTCGTGGTGTCCCTGCTGACTGGAATTTTCGACACATACCTCATCTACTTCTTCTGCTTCATCCAGCAGAGCCAGACTAGTCTGGACACATACCAGCTGGTGTGGTTCTTCATCCGGCTCGCATTCACCATGCTAGACGTTTTCACCATGGGAATAGGCAAGTCAACACATAACAACAATATGCTCATCAGGGGCGTATTTAGGTGGGGGTTCGACCTCATCGCCAACCAAAGCGTCCCATTTTGGTGTTATTTGACATCCTGTTCGACGAACATTTTTCCAGCCTTAACATTTTTGTAAAGGCGCCTTGGGCGCCGATATATTGAAATGGAAAAGGCGCCGAAGAAACGCAATGTTGTGGTCAACAAATATTCAAAAGTGGCCAATAAACGGCATTTGAAAAAAATTGCCTGCAGCGCAGAAAAATTTGTCAAAATAGGTCGTTATATTGATTGTTCGGGGAGCGCTCGGAAAATCTGGTCGACTTTAAAAAGAAATAAAAAAACTTGAAAATCCGCTCCCCCTCGAAAAACTCCTACATCTGCCCCTGATGCTCATCAAGCACAAACTCACACCATCTATCAATTATCATTGTCTTTTCATGATGTGGGCCAAATTTGACGTTGAGCAATTTCATCGGTCAGAAAAAAACAGAAAGTTTTCAAATTTACTAGATAATTGGAGACAGTTACAGGTTGAAATTGAATTCTACTGTCAAAAGAAACAATTAAAGGTTAATTTACTTCGTTCAGTTTCTTTGACCGAGCAGAATATGTTTTTGCTCTTTCACACATAATCTTTCACGACAAGGCATTAATGAAAAATGAAATATTAGACCGCTTGATTGAAAAAACAAATCATTTGCGTAGTTTCGCGCACTTTTCCGGGCTCTTTCACAATTTTCCGCGTTCTTTCACAATTTGCTGGCATCTTTCCCTCAAAAACAGCAAAAACATACTCTTCAACGGTTAGAACAGTTGAAGATGGCATCGGGCAAAAGAGCCGCCATCAGGCCGGGCTCTTTTTCCCTCGGGCATCTTTCAACCATGTTCTAACTACTACAAAGAATATTGCCAACAACTTGACATTAATTATTTGAGCAATGCAGCGGACATGGACATGAAAAGTTTTCACAAAATTTGTTGAAAATGTAAAAAGTAGTCACACAGCATAAAAAGAATTTGCTAAGTTTTTTTTGGCTCTTTTCCACTTTCCCACCCCGTCTTAAAATTACAAAAAAAGTTGTTCAAAAAATCTTCTCATATTGAATGTAAGAATGTTGTAGAAAAAAATGTTCACCTGTTCACGCTGACACGTTTTAATGCAGTTTACAACATGAAACGTCATTTTAAATAGACTTTCAAATATCAAATTTCAGAAAAAAATCGAAAAAGGGAAACTGAGAAAGAGCCTTTATCTTAATGCTAAAACCTAAAACCACCTTCTGCACAAATTTAAGAGATCTCTGCAGCAGCACATTGGCGTTTTTTTTTTTCAGGAAAACTTCATGCTGACATTTTTTGTGCGCTACTTTCCTTTGTATATTTTGACACACAATGCAATTTTTTTTCAAAACCTAGAGTGAGTCATCCAAAATTGGAGCTTGTGCATCTTTTTTGGGGGAGGAGGAGTCAATTTCTTGAAGTGAATGCGTTCTCACCTTTGCTCCTTTTACCGTAAATCTACCCCTGAACCCCTGATACTATGATATTTGCCAATAAGTAGCGTCCTAATTATTATAATACGCTCCGCCCAAAGGGTCCTCTCTTTGGAACTTAGTTACGACATCTATTTTCAGACGACTGACATGAATTTTTTTAATGTCGCTTTTCGTGCCAAAACGTATCAACTTTTTGGTGAACGCTCCAAAAAATCAACTTTTCCAAAAAACTTCCAATAATTGTCCAAAATGGCATTGTTGACTGTTTTTTCAAAAAGTCATCCTCTCCTATGGCGCAGATTTTTTGGCAAATAATCGAAGCTAGCGTCTTTGTAATAAATTGGTCGGTAAATGATTTTGGTCGAGCTAAAAAAGTCTTCAAAAAGTCGAAAAAAAGTAAATCATAGTACGTAAAGATTTATAAAACGAGTCAGCAAAAACACTAACTTAAATTCATTGTGTATATTCATCTACCATGGCAAAAAAACTGTTTGTTTACTCAGCTCCTGGTTGCTAATTCAATTTTTCTACCGTGAAGCAACATTTCGCAACAAGCGACAATTCGCAACACTAGATTAAGCGGCAAACACTAATTTACGTGAACTACTCCTCTCATGTCGAATGTAAGCGCAGCGGAGCGGAGCCTAGCAAGCGTATTTTACCTGCTTATGCCTTGATACGAATTGTCGTCTCTTATGAATCGTCACCTGTAACGAATTGTCGCCGAACTTTTTTTCTACACAGTTGCGAATAAATTGAATTTCATCAAACAACCAAAAATTCATTTCTTGTGTAATAATGTTGCAGTGTACTACAAAATAGCCAGTTCATCCACCAATTTGCGCCAGACACTATCACGTGGTTCGATCTCGCATGTAAACCAGAACAACAACACCAACAGCAGCAACAACCAGGACGGATCCAACCGGGTCTCAATCGTCCAGATGACGACCATCGCGCAGGATCATGTCACCAGGTGCAAACAGCCTAGAATTCTAAATACTCGCATTCAAAGCTATTCAAAGCTTGCCAGAGCTTTTCAAGGTGCAACTAAAAGTTTTGTAAGATTATCGAAAATTATCCTTGATGCCAAATGATTATTGGGAACATCGTTCACTTTTAGCAACTTAATCAGCGCTTTTTTGGTTAATTAGATTTTCAACAGGGATTTAGATTTTGGTGAACCCAGTCAGTAAAAAGTTGAATTCAGACGCCAAAATGATTAGGTTTTAGTTAAATTTATTTGTTCCGACCATTGAAAATTGGGAGGAACTTTGTATTCGGGTGTATTTTAGTTCTTTTTTTCTTATTTTTTCTTTTTTTTTCACGCAAAATCAGGTACCACAAATAATACTGTAATATGTTGAGCAAATACTCTTATTTGATTGTTTAGAGTCGACGATAAGAGAAGTGAAAAACCGGTTGCGATTCTCGGACATGTCAAGATGGAAGCGCCAATCACATCCGAAACAGACGCGTCTTCATACAACTGTATAAATGACATCAAGCCAATCACGAAGAAAGTTTCAATGGAAACTGTTACCATTAACGAGGACGCTATAGTAGTAGATAATGATGTCCGAGCAGACAAGCCGCGACCCTCCCTACCCCTCTTGGCCACATACAAAAAAGGTAGAACTTTACAGTTTACCCCGTAGTAGCGGATTTAGGGGGGGGGGGGGAGGGGGGATTTTTTTCGGTCAAAATTTTCCAAAAAGTGCATAAACACGCCTTTTTGGGCCTTTTTTTCCAAAATTTTGCCTGGGGCGCAGAAAGTTTGGCTAAAACGGGGCCTTTTTAGTGCTTTGGGAGAACTCGGAAAATCAATTTAGTCAACCTAAAAAAAGGCAGACAAAATTTTAGATTTTTTTTAAAAATCCGCTTCCCCCCCCCCCTTGGAGAAAATCCTAAGTCCGCCCATAAAATTTACTGGCTAAAAGTGCTGAAGTAAACTTTCCGATCGAGAAAGGGTAACGGAACTTTGTATTTGGGTGCTTTTTAGTTTTTTTATTTTTACTGTAAAAGCAAAAAAAACTAAAAGGCACCCAAATACAAAATTCCGTTACCGCTTTGCGATCGGAAATATTACTTCAGCATATTTAGCCAGTAAATTTTAGGGTGACCTAGGATTTTCTCCAGGGAGGGGCGGATTTTTAAAAAAAATCTAAAATTTTGTCGGCCTTTTTTTAGGACTAAATTGATTTTCCGAGTTCTCCCAAAGCACTAAAAAGTCCCCGTTTTAGCCAAATTTTCTGCGCCTTTATTTTGAAAAAAAATGCCCAAAAAGGCGTGTTTGTGCACTTTTTAGAACATTTTAACCAAAAAAAAATTGCCTTTTTTTGGTGAGCACTTCCTCCTCAAAATTAATAAATAGAAAAATTCGCCTTTAGAAAAGTTTTAGGGTCTGTCAGCCTCCGCCCCCCCCCCCTAAATCCGCCTCTGCTTTTAAATCCACCTCCGCCCCCCCCCCCCCCCCCTAAATGCTTTAACTTAAATATCTTAAACGTTAGCTCAGCGTTGTGTTTAACCACTTCTAAGTTTAGCTTTCTGGAAAAATTCATCATAGTGATTCGTTTTCAGGTAGTGCTGCAAATAGCTACATTATTCATTAAAGAAGTCATTGGTAGCTTGTTTTCAGCCAGCTTATACAGAGTCTCTTAGCTCTACTACCTTATGAGAAAACTTTTTTGAAAAAAAAACGGTATCCGGAACCTTCTGTGCTACTTGCACAGCAACCAGTTTTTCATTTCATTGTTTATCGATAATGTTTCATGAGTCTAATCCCAGTAAAGAAGTAAGAGAATTGAGGGATCTACTTAACAATCCCCCCCCCCCCCATGGTACCTAATTAAGAATCTCCACCCCTATAAATAAAAACAGTAAATTATCACTGAGCTTTCTATTGAGAATTCTAATTTTGCTGCATTCTGATTGGTTGAAAAATCGACCATTTTGACCTACTTAACAATCTCCCCCCCCCCCCCTTTCCCCCTTTTCTTGAAAGGGGTGGAGATTGCTAAGTAGATCCGAATTGAGAAATTGGAAAATATTTACAGGTTCGATTATACTGGGTTTGAAGAGCCCGGATGAAGATGAACTAAATATTGAGCCGGAAGCGATCCAGGCACAACAAAAACGGAAATACACTTCACCTAAGATATCCGTGACGACTCCGAAACAGAAACAGAGCACAATGTCCACAATCAGGTAACTGATGCCTTTATTTAAGAAAAGGTTAAAATTTTCCAATAAGGTCAATATGACCAGTTCCTTACGTCATTATGACAATGTCTGCAACGCAATTTAATCTATTATTTGGTAGTTTAGTATTTAGGAGTCGCTGAACGTAGAGAAGATTCTTATAAAGGTCGTGATGGTTGTTAGTTTTTTTTTCAATAAAAGCCTTAGAATGTGTTCACGTTCAAATTTGATTTCTCGTGTTTTGCTTCTTTAAAGTTCATTTTTGTTTTTTTTAAAGGAACTCAAAATTCTTTATCGAACAACAACAGGCCACGAAAAATGAAATCGACAGACATATAATTTCCAAAGCCGATAAAATTTTTCCAGCGGAATAGAAACTTTACCTATTGTTCAAAAATCAAAAAACTGACAAACAATTAGTTCTTAAAGTTCAAAAAGCTTTAAGATGATATATTTTCTTCTTTAAAATTCACAAGTTGAAATTTTTTCAAAAAAAAAAAAACAAGTCCGTTTTTTTTCTGTTTCCGCGTTCATCGACTTTTTTCCATCAACTTGTAGGTTATGTTAAGTTACGTAGCTTCTTGAAGCATTCCAAATCGAACATATAGCCTGGTATTGGAAGTTTTGTAATAGAGCATTGACTTGGAAGGCTTCGAAGTTTTGTAATGGCGCATTGCCGAAAACTAAACATTTTGAATTGAAGTAGATATGAAGGCTATGAAGTTTTGACATGAGCATTGCTCACGTGTTTCGTATTCCAAGCGGAAACACATGAAAAACACAAGAAAATTTCAGCTCAAGTAAAGACACGAGAGCAAGTTTTCCGAACACGAGATAGTCGCTTTCGTATTTTTCATGTATTTATAGCCCGTATTGAAAATTATGATCCTTGCGTGGAAAAATGCCGGAAATCAACCAATCAGTTTAAATTGTAATCTCAAGTAGCTCTCGTGGTCCTTTTTCGCAACATTTTGTGAATTAGAAACACGTGATTTGTCAGTAAAAAATCGTGAACGTTTTTAAGAACGTACTAGAGCACTAAAACTGCGAGCTAAAATACAGCATTTAAAATGCTGTTATTTCTTGAAAAAAAATCTGCAAGATTTTGAAATAGATCTAAAGCTGCTTTGAACGGTGTTCAGACAATTCGGTCACAGACAATTCAGCCACTTTCAAATTCAGACAATTCAGTCAAAATGAGTGAGACAATTCGGCCAAAGACAATTCAGACAGTTTTAAAGTTTTAAAAAGTGCGCGCAAAAGTTTTTCACATGCGGCAAAACATCAAAGCTTTCATAAAACGTCTTATAATTAATTCCTTTCAAATGCACATAAAACAAATGAAATTAACAGAAACAAAAGTACCCAAGCATAAAAAAACTTTATGCAACTCATTATTTTTCCAATTTGAGAATAGTAACTAAGCAAAAATCGAATTCAACAAAAAAACTGCAAAAATAATTGAAGGTAAACCAATTTACGTGAAAGTTGACCACGTTGACCACAATTTACGTGGAAGATTGGGAGTTTTACAGGCGGTCAAAAATAATATCAGTTAAAGGGTTGACCACACCTATCACGTACTGGCCACACAGTTACGCTGATATTCTTATCATACTAAGGCGGGGGAGGGTGCAACCGCCTATTAGGTAACTTGGGTAGTTGGCTGAAACTAATTATAAACTTAAACTTCTTTAAAAAATAAACAAATTGCGATTAAACTATTGTCCAACCAGAAACCAGTACCGCGTTTAACGCCTACTTTTTGAAGTTAGATTGTCCATTTACACAATTAACATTGATTAATTTTCATTAGTAACTGGCTTCAACAACTGATTGATTAGTATCTGAAACATTCTAAATCTTGCGATGGAACGTTTTCAGTGGCTCCAGATGTCTTTTACCAAGTTTATACTATTCATGGTCTAATCGAAAACGCAGTTATACCCCTGGTGTATGCTCTGCTGCCCAACAAGACTCAAGACACATATGAAAAACTTTTTGGCTGCTTAGAGCAATTTGGAAAAAACGTAGTCCTTGATTTTGAAGCCGCTATTTGCAACGCCATAAAGAAAAAACAGCCTGATACAGAAATTCATTTCTGTTTCTTGATGAGTTTCGACTGAATGTCAAAAAAATGATTTGCTTAGCATTATTCCCGTTGACGACGTTATTTTCGCTTTTGAGGCTCTCCGAAAAGAGATTCCTCAGAGGAATTTCAGAGTCTATCGGACTATTTTGAAGACACCTATATTGGTGCCTGTCGAGGCAATAGACGCGTCAAACCAAAATTTGACATCGCCGATTGGAACATTTTCAATCGGGTGTTCAGCGGTGAATCTCGTACGAACAATGCATTGCAGGCATGGAATGGCAGCTTCAATAAATTCGTGTCCACAAAGCACCCAGCCCTCCCCAAGCTGATCACACGTTTCAAAGATGAGCAAAACAATGCCGATATAAAAGTAGAGAGACTGATTTCTGGTGATATTATTAGAAAACCGAGGCCCAAGTTTTCACTCGCCAATGAGAAACTCGTTCAAAACGCAAAAAGCTACAATCGAGACCATATACAGAAGTATTTAAAACTTTATTCCTTTAATGTACATATATCTCAAAGCTTTATGCATAGCAAGTTTGTTTTGATCTTTGAAATTTGTTTTTGATGTTTCACATTTCTTTGTTAAAGTGTTGAAAGCCTTCTGACTCTAATCAAATAAGAAAAGTTTTAAATTTTCCTTTTATCTAGTCTCTTTAATCTAAATAAGCCGAATTGTCGTTGGCTGAATTGTCTGAATTTTTTGACTGAATTGTCTGTATTTTAAATTGGCTGAATTGTCTGTGGCTGAATTGTCTCTGCGCCGCTTTGAACATTACAGATACGACGGAAAAATGAAACAAGAAAACGGAATGGCGCGAAAAAAAGTTAGAAATTTCAAAATAGCCAAATTCAATTAGGTATTCAGAAACATCAATCAAACTATGATAGATTATTATGACAAATGAATCTAGTAAATGAATAATTACTACAAATGAAAAATGAATGCTTAAAGTCGAAATTAACCGATTGCAAAAAGAACAGTTAACGCAATTGGATTAATACTAGTTGCATGCTTTTAATTCTTGAGATACGAGCCGTTTATGGGAATGCCCCTGTCTGAGAACTCTTTACAAAGCCCTATCGGCGCTCGGTAGCTGGCACATGTTAACAATCCTTTTTTTGTTAATTTCAGTTTTGAAACCTTCAGTTTAGAGACAACACTTCAGCGGCTGGAAACTCGTTTTGATTTCAAAAAATTCTGATTTTTTGTAGCTTTTCTGTTTTTCTGTCTGTCTGTTTGTCGAGTAGCCACCAACAAAACAGAAAAAAAAAACATTTAAGTTTGGTACAATGTACAATAATAATCACTTTTACTGAGGCTTCTTTTGTATCGTTTTTGAGATAAAATTTTGTCAAATTTTGAGCAGTTTTCAAAACAATCTTGCGCGGTTTCTCTAGCAGATTACTTTCAAAATTAAAATTGGCGGTGTTCGCGGTTTTTAACGAGCAATTTTTAAACATTTTTTAACAATAGTTGGTGGTTTTTGATAGAACTTTCCGCAAAAATCACTCCAATATCGTTCATGGTTTCAACAGTTTTCGGACAGCTTTTTAAAGAACCGGTTCATCATATGCGCTCATTGAATTTAAAAAATTATAACTGTTCAACATGCTGATTCTGAAGCAAAGTTTTGAAATGAAAAACTCGGCCCTGGTTGGCATAATTTGAAAACTTTAGCATCATTTTTTTCTGTTGTTTTTTTATTTTTAAATTATTTTTTATAATCAGCAACAAACGGCAAGTTAATTGAATGGGTAGAATTAAATGTATATATCAATCAAAAATCTACAGAAATGTCACCTTTTTCAATGTTTGCATGAAACACAATTTCAGATTCAAGAAAAAGCAAGCGCCTTTTTCAATGTTTGCATGAAACACAATTTCAGATTCAAGAAAAAGCAAGCGCCCTCAAGTAGTTTAAATAAAAAAAGTTTAGTCGAAAACTATTATTTCGATCGGCGAAAATTGACTGAATAAAAAAAATCACACTGAGCAAAAATATTCCGTTTTCTTCGAAAATCGGAACAAATATATAAATGTTTTATGAAAAGAAGCGTTCGTTTCACCTAAATCTTTTAGAAAACTTGATGTCTTAGGTACCTATATCCAATTTACTTTCAGAAAAATTTACAGAAATATTCTAGTCCGAGTTGAAAATTTGAATATAATTATAAAAGTATCAAAAGTTATCATCAAAAGTTGGCCGAAGACCCAGAGGTAGACGAGATTTGACAGGGTTGTCTCCGCTAACTTTGTGATAAACTTAACATAATTTTTGTGTGCGTTCGTATAGTTAAGTGTAACCGCATAGCATTCTTCAGATAATCCGTAGTTTGATGTGCATGATTATCGTGTTCACTAGCTTTATAGTAGATAGTTGTATTGTTCGTTTTAGATCCTTCTGTTTGTGCGGCTGCCAGAAGCCAACTTTCAATTTTAGCTCCAGCATCACCCACCGCGCACTTCGTCGCAACACCGCAGCAACCAACAGCGGGGGGTGCGCGAACAAGAAGAGGTCTTCGACTGAGAATGCCACCTACGCGCTCTTCATCATTAGCGTCGGATTCATTGTGTTCATCACTCCCTACACCGCTATGTCGGGTATGATGCTTCGCAATAAACATTATCTGGCAGAAACAAGATATGATTTTAGAAACAAACACTGTGGAATAAAAGTTTGGAAAACAAAAAAAAACACAAGATTCCTTCAGAAAAAAACGGAGTGCACTGGCAGCACGGTCGGTTTTTAAAGTAGCGCAAGCACAATGTTGCGACCACAGCTGCTTGAGATAAAGCAGCACACAGGCGCCGCGAGAATGCCGCAAATAATCACTTGATGTTGGAACATCTTTTTACAAATTTTACTGATGATATCTGCTTGACTTATTGGCGCCAAGTGAAACAGAATAGAAAAACCATGTGAAAATCAGTCATCAAATTTTTAAAACTTTCTCTTCGAATTTTTACTCGTTTTTTAGTCCTTTTTTACTTACAGTAACTGGAGTTGCACCTGAAAAACGAATAGAAGTTAACTATTAAGAACCGAACAATTAACTTTATGGAGTTTTGAAAAATCAAAATAACATTTTCAAACCGACAATTAGATCTTTGCTCGATTATTTTAATACTCAAAATATTCAGTGGTTTCATAAGTTTGTGAAACCTATAAAGTTTCGCTCATTATCGTATGAAATGAGAGCGTTCAACAGTGCCGAAACTGAAAATGTGTTCAACAGTGCCAAAAATTGAGGATATTTGAAAATTTTGAATTCTGTTTGCAAATTTGTGACAATTTTGCATGAAAACTGTTTTGTTTTGGAGCGAAACCGAGAAGAAAATTCGACAATTAGCTGAGTTAACTGTTTGCTTAGAAAAATTTATGGCGCCGTGCTTGGCGAATTTTTTTTAGTTTAACAAGCGGCATCAATTAAAAGGACCATTTTTTGCTTTTCCACTGTCGTCGATTTGAATTAAATTACTTCTCAGCGATTAAGTGATACAAAAAACAGTATTCAAAAAAATTGGTGGTATTAATAGGATACTTTTATTCATTTTTGTTTTAGTTTTTTGTTCCGATTTCGTAACATAAGTAACGGAATATTTGTGCTCGGGGTGGGTTTTTTAGACAAATTTTGACTTCCCAACTAGCCATTTTTGGCAGAATTGTTTTATATCATTCAAAAGGTATTGTTGTCATGAGCTTAAATTTGAAAATATTTGTCACGTGTGATCATTTTTCGTAAAGTTATGAGGGTTGACCAAAATTGCTAATCATACAATTTTCTTATATGGAAAAATGCTAGTCATACACTTTTCATACAACTCCATAAGAACAGAAAATTGCATGAAAAAACTATGATCAGTGATTTTTCGTATATGGAAATTGTATGACTAGCATTTTTGCATAAACCAAAAAAGTATTGATTTATTGAACTTTACTTTCTCAAAATTTTTTGGTTTGTGTTCGTAATCAAACACAAGTGACAAAAACCTTGGTTGCACAAAAGTACAGTAATAATGCATTGGAAACGGGCTGAAATGTGTTTTTTATGTTTTATGCAAACAATATAAAGAAAGTATCAAAGTTTTAATTTTGACAAACATTTCAAAATTATTTTTTTTCCAAAATTTGAGTTTTTAATTACTCATGAACTGATCTAGGCATACATAAATATGCCATACAAAATAAGTAAGCGTTTTGAGCGTTTTCGAAAAAACTTATTCTGAAAAAAAAAAAGAAAAAAATTCAACTTTCATTTCAGCGTGGCAGTCGTTCTACGTGGAGAGCACAATTGGGAGCCCAGTGCACGACATCCTATTCGAAGTGTCCATGTTGATATTCAACGGGAACTTCATCTCCAACTACTACGTGTACCTCCTTTTCAATGTCGTCTTCAGGAACTACGCCACATCTGTCAACAAGAAGATATTCTTCTGCTGCAGTCGCGATTAGCGCCACACATCAAGTCAGGCTACTCGACAAAAGGCCCATACAAAAGGTCCATATAGAATCACTTCAACGGCCATACTAAATTCAAATTGTGATCAAATTTATCATTCTTATTTTTAAATCACATCTAGATCGATAGTTAGAGGGAATCCACTATGACGATGCATTAAATCCCATGGATTTAAATCTCCTGGATTTAAAACCTCTTAATAGCGTCGAACGCTGAAAAGATAAAATTAGCCAATCAACTGCTTGCTCAAAAACCTCATCGAAACTACTAAAACTGCGAGACTAAAATCAAAACGAGCTGATCACAAGATATAAGCAGATACTATAATCGGGCTAATATCAATCATTCACATTCTTTTAATTATGTTTCCATTTTCGGCTTTTTCTTTTCAGGGAACAAGAGATTGATACAATTTTACACGATTCTGATACTTTAAGCTTTTTCTTTACTATTCGGTCTACCCATCATCATGAGAATATATCTCCTTGTCTCGAATACAATTTGTAGTTTGTTCTGTATCTTTGGGCAAAAATATAAGGCAAAACTAACTCAAGGTGAATTGTTACTGTCGGTCTCCTAGTGGCTCGGCGGTGCGCGCTTTGTGATAAAGTTTTCAGGCGTCGGGCGGTCTCATGAACAGCTCGTGGCTGAGGACTTAAAGGCTTAGAGGCACGCAACACGTATCAGTATCAGCCAAAATGCACTACCTGCTTATTTTGTGATCGGCTCCCGTTGATTATAATCTGCTGGATTTATATATTTTCATAGAGAATTCGTTTCGTCTTTGAGATTTTTGAAAAACCAAATCTCATTGGCTCATTTTCACTCTCCGTCGTTGAGTATTTCTGTCATGAAGGATTCTCCCTTGCTGATAAATGCTATAACTCTGCCAAGGCTCTTATCTTTTGACCAAATAGCTAAAATTTTGTACGCCACATTTTGGTTTAAAAAAATGTATTATAGGAGATTGAGCCCTGACTCGATTTATATGAGGAAACCCCTAAACCAGAAGGACCCACAGCTCGAAGACTAATCGAGCTAATTAATCAAAACTGAGCATTCAAGATATCAAAAAATAAGCGTGAAAATCAGACGTTTTGGGCAATTTAAAGAATGCTGATTGGTTCAAAGTTTCCGTTAATTCGATCCTTCTGCCATGAAAGCGGCGTAGTGCTTTTTTTATTATATCTTTCTTTAATCTTTCTCTCAAATCTCTGCAACTAAAAAAACTTTGTAACACATTCGAAACTACAGTAACCTCAATTTTATTTATAGACAATAAAGTTTATGCGAGAATATAAGATATTTTTGAAATGAAAACTGAAAATTATCTATTATTTGCTTATTGTCTAATAATTTCAATTCATACAGCTATTATTGTCCTTTTTGTCTATTTACATGCCAGAGGCGGATTAAGGGAGACCGACATTCAGGAATTTGATATTCTTCTCATCCTCAGCCTTGGTTTATTTTTTAGGACTAATTTTTCGACCGACCAACCTTGAAAATTTTTTAAACAGCCTTTTGCGTGTCATTTTTGGTCTTAGCCTTGGAAAAAGGCCAAAAACGGCATTTTTGACTCACCAATTGTTCAAAAATACTTCTGCGGCGTAAGAATTTTGTCTAAATTTGTTTTTTTTTCGCCTTTTTGTCGATAAAAAAGGTTCGACAGTTTTTTTATTTAGAAAAAAAATTGAATAGTTCCTAAAAAGGCCGGATGAATGGTTTTTTGTCTAAAAAAGGTCGACATCTCCATTTAAACTTTGGAAATACTATATCCACCTCTGCTACATAAATTTACATAAATTTTCAATGCTTTTCTTGTTCATTTGCTTGTGCTAGTAGAATATAGGCAACAATAAATTGCAGTGATTCCATATTCAATGAAGCTTAATAAAAAACCTCAATATAAGATTTCGTGAGACTGTTATGGAACAATAATCAATCGTGGAAAAATTTTGCTTTTTCAAATGTTATCCCACAAGCAACTCTTTCAATCTTAACTGAGCTGCATTGGCAAAAAGTCTTTAACGTATGTTGAAGTTGGCAACAACTGAAGTTATTAAAAGTTATCTGCAATTTATTAATTTATTTTTACAAAACAGTTTCTGCATTTATAATGTTTCTGCAAAATTTTGATCTTGTGAACTATCACTCTTGGGGTATCTACCCGCACTGACAAACTTGATTGGAATTGATTTTTTTTGAAGCTAACATTCTTTATTAAAATTAGGGGCGGATTTAAGATTTTCTCGAGGGGGGGGGGGGGGGGGGACGGATTTTGTCCACCTTTTTTTATGTCGACCAAATTGATTTTCCGAGCTCTCCCAATGCACTGCAGGGCCTTGTTTTAGCCAAATTTTCTGCGCAGCAGGCAAAATTTTGAAGAAAAAAAAACAGGCCAAAAAAGGCGTTTTTAGGCACTTTTTGGAAAATTTTGACCAAAAAATTTCTTTTTTTTCAGCGCCTTTAGAAAATTTTTAGGGTCCGTCACCAAAAATGGATATCTCAAGATAATACAAAGGGGGACCCGATAGTGTAAATCGATTTAAAAGGAATTACCTTTAGTCGATTTCCTTTTGTTTCAAAACTTGAGCAAAATTTTGTACTCGAAAAAATCTTCGTCAGAGCCAGAGAACAAGTAAAGAGCAGCGAGCCACTCTAGGAGAGTTTTAACCACAAACTATTGAGTTTCAGGAAAATTTTTTCAGAGAGAATTTTGCAAATATAAGGATTCTCGCGGTAATGAAAAGAAAAAAATTAGGCCAAATTTCTTCTAAGTTCATTATCATTTTCAAAGTTCTAGGCCTAATTTTTTCGGCTCGCTCTCCCACCTCAAATTTACATTTTGGTTCAACTAAATATGGATGTAAAAAAGAAAGAAAAAAGGAACCCTGTAGTTGCTAAGGGCTCAAATCCTTGAGACAGAAAGCATTCCATCCGCATATTGGTATCGCTACTGGTAAAATTTCTTGCGCTTTTCCCTTGTCGATTTTTCATAAACTTCGGCTCAATTTTGCTAGACAGAAAACATATATTTGAAAAACTCAACTCAGAACAATTCTTTATTGTTGTTGAAAATTTAATCATTAGCTATGTTCATAATTTGTTTCTAAGTCAAACATCAACACACAAAGTCAATTGCATACCATATACGTTATGATTTATTTTCAGTTTACTCGATTGTTTGATAGAGTAAAACTGAATATAATCTTATAATCTGTATAGAATCTTTATAAAAACAAAATGCAAAAAAGTGGATAAAAAAATAGATTTCATAAAATAATACCAGTGGGGTACCCTTTGGTTGGCGAGGAGGTCGAATCCCTGAAAAGAGGGCGTCAGCCCTACCACACCCCCCCCCCCCCATTAAATCCGCCCTTGGTACGGGCGGCAAGGAATTACCACCGTATTATAAAAGATTTCAACGGTCAAGCATATACGAATTTTGTAATTTGTAACGAATTACCCCCATCCCCTTTTTGAAAAAAAACAAGGGGGTAATAATTAACAAGATTCAGAAATTTATCGGCGAGTAGATAGCAGTTCTCGCGCTTCAAAGCTGGCCCATACTATCGTATGAAAACTGGATAATCTGGGCACACACGGAGAGGCACACAGTCCAGGCCACTGTCCATAGTATGGACCTGTATGGCTGTCTCACAGCAGACACTGTGATGATTGTGTGGGCTATTCGACATACTGTGAATATGCGCATGTGCCACGCGAAAGTGCTGACCGAGGGGTTGCAGTGCATTCCGTAGATGTAGGCTGCCGCCAGGAAAATCGGAATGTTTTCAAGGTCATTTCGATGAGTCCTGAAAATATTACAATATTATAATGGGGTGGTGCGTACCCACGGAGCCGCAAAGCCGAAAAAACTAAATACATACGGTTTTATTTTAATTAAATCAGAAAACTCTTCACTAAATTGAGACGCATTTTGGACAAAAAAAGTGCCTCAAAAATTTGCAGCCTGTTAGCAAACAAAATTCTGAACATTATTATTAGATTTGATTGGCTAATATTTTACTCTCATTGAATTAATTAACAACAAAAGCTTTATTTTTTATGATATCCATTTTCGGCCGACAAACTCTAAAATTTTTCAATGTATACTAATTTTAAAGGGGAGCAGCGCTGAAAAAGAAAATTTTTTAATCAAATTTTTTCAAAAATCCCAAAAACTGCTCTTTGGCCTGTTTTTTTCAAACATTTGTCTCTTTTCCCCCCCTCGAGAAAATCTTAGATCCGCTCCCTGCATTGTCATTATAATGTCGGTTGCGGGCCCTCAGTTTGCGGGCCTTTGATAGTTTATTTTTTTTGTTCGCCGGGTGGAGCATGGTCGGGTAAATGTGTCTCGTGGATGTCAGGTAGGGGGAGGTTGTAATTGGGCGGAGGGGAAGGAAGAATGATAGGAGTAAGTGTGTGTGGGGGTAGAGAAAGGGAAATCCCAAATAAGAAAACAATGCTTTTCAAGTAAGTTTGTGGGATCTCTTTAACTATGGAGGGGTAGGATATTATGGTACCCCTA